ACTGATACAGTTGGCCCTCCACATTTGTGGCTTTGCCTTTTGTGGCTTTATTTGCAGGTTTAATATGTTCTCTCTAGGAATCTCTAGGTCCTCCAGCGCAACTCTGCCAGACGTTGTGCTGGAGAACCTAGAAGTTCCTAGAGAAAACACTTCTCTAGGCATTTGTATGTCCTCCAGCATGTGTCTATAAACAACTTTTGGCAGATGTTGACCATAGAGTTGCACAGGAGGACCTAGATATTCCTAGAGAAGTGTTCATTCATGAAAAAGAAGTGTTTATTTTATTTACAGTTTTTCCACTTTCAAGGGGTCCTACGTTCCTAACCCCAGTGAATGTGGAGGGACCACTGTATATTAAAGAATGGAGTTAAACATAACAAATGTCAGCAGGAAGAATTCACTGTTTGCTTATAAAAACTACTGCTTCCCTCAGTGCAATGCATACTGACTTCCTCTGAAATCAATGTACCTTGCTGCCAAGTAGGCATGTTAAGCCATCTCTAAGGATCTAAGTACATTTGAAAATGAAATCAACATATTTTCCAAGTGTAATTCTTTTTAAAAATCTAATGTCAGGGAGAGATAGTGGCATCATTTTCTTAAGGCAGAGCCTCTGCTGAGACACAACACCAGCAGTTAAAAAACCCAAACCAAAACAAAAACTCCAGGCAATGACAAAACTTTTATTTTCTTACAACCTAGTTTGAAATTAACTGTTTATAGCAAAATACATCAATTCACACAATAGGAATACCAATTGTAGTGAAAAATAAAAGTCTTTCTAGATCAGCTTTCTCCAATCTGGTGCTATCTGGGTATCTTGGATTATAAATCCTGATGGAGAGGAACTACAGAGTTGTAGTCTGGCATGTTTGGGGAGTTGGGGGAGTCAGTGATAAATCAAAATGCAAGTAATGGTATCAGTCCATTCTTTCACAGAAAGCAGTATGCCAGTATTCTGGGTTGGTCTGTTGTTGGTGTGTTTTTGCTGAAGCTGTTTTGATTGGAAGCTGCCTTGCAGAAGTATCAAGTTTAAACTCTCTGGACTCATCATATCCTCTTGAAGCCAAAGGCCTATCTTTTGATGCACATACTGTTGCTAGTCCTTAGTGTAGTCGTCTTCCCTTGGATGCAGTCTTTAGGGATCTAAAGCCAGGATGTTCACATTGGCTCAAGCTGCTTCAGCTAACGAATTCCCTGTCATGGAAGACTTGTGGAAAGAGAGACTTACAAGCGCTGAAAAGGAGTGCACCGGTGTGGGTGTGCTCTTAGGCTGCACATAGACTGCAGCAATAACCTGGGTTTGACACCACTTAAACTGCTACCATGCTATGGAATTCTGGGAAATGTAGTTGTCCCCAGAATACCATAAAAATAGTAAAAACAGAGAACAAATGAAACAAGCTCCAAGTGCTCTAAGATGGTCAACTGTTTATTCAGTTTTTAATTCAGTGTTTAAAAAGCCGAAACTGAATTAAAAACTGAACAGTTGACCATCTTAGAGCACGTGGAGCTTGTATCCTTTCTGTTTGCTCCAAAAATACTACAGCACGGAGCCTGTAGCCATTCATGCTATGGAATTCTGGGAAAGGCAGTTTTTGGAGAGACATTCAGTAGTCCCTAGAATCCCACAGGATGGAGCCTGTGGCAGTTCAAGCGGCGTCAAACCGGGTTATTGCTGTGGTGCGGACGCAGCAAGTGGTGCCTTGGCCTTTCAGAAGTATCCAGTTTTGAATTCTCTGCCACAGCCTTGAGGCCGAAGGCGGCGGAAGGCCGGTGGCCAGAGGGGTCCGAGGTGAAGCCGAAGCGGAGCCTAAGCCGAGGGAGCCTCAGCCTCCGCGTTGTCCTTCTGCGAGGGCGGCGCTTCTTGGGGGCTCCTCCGCCTGAGGGCGCGCAAGAGGCTCTGGCGGAGGAGCGGGTAGAGCCGGTGGCAGCCGTCGAGACCGAGGCGGAGGGCTCCGGCCCAGCTCTCGGGCTCGCCCCCTCGCCCGCTTCCCAGAAGCCCGGCCACCTGGTTGAGGGAGGGCAGGAGGGCCACGGTGAGGTGGGCGCCGCCGCCGCCGGCCCCGCGCTCCTCGGCCTCGGTGGGTTGGAGGAGCCACTCGCCGCCTTCTCCTCCTGGGCGGCGGGGCGTCCGGCAGAGCGCGCAGGCGGCCACCAGGTCGTAGAGCTCGACGCCGGCGTCAGCCAAGGCCAGCCCCGCGGCGCAGAGGGCGGCAGCCAAGGCGGAGCCCCCGTCCTGGAGCAGCAGCGCGCTCACCTCCAGCTGGGCCCGCGGATAGCGCCCCAGGCGGACGCACGGCTCCAGCGCCTCCTGCAGCGCCAGCGTCCACTCCGGCTCCCGCTCCCCTGGGTGGCACCGGGCCCCGCGGACCGAGAAGGGCGCCCGGCGGAACTCGCACACTAAGCGGCCCCGGGGCTCCCCCGCCGCCACGCCGCCGCCTCCGGCCTCCCTGGGCCCGGCCACGGCGCAGAGGACCTTGGTGCCGCCCTCCAGCTCTACGTAGGCCGAGCCCTTGGCCTGGGTCAGCAGGCCCACCCGCGCGAAGAGCGGCTGCAGCCGAGAAGGATCCCGGGACGCCGCCGACGCCGCCTCGCCATCTCCCGCCGGCACGAAGAGCAGCGGAGACTGAGATTCCTCCGGCCCCGGCACGCGGCGGTGGTCCAGCGGCATGGCTTCCGCTCCAGACCCGGAAGGGAACCAGAGCGCCTCCGCCGCCGCTTCTTCTTCCTCACACTCCCATCCTGCACCGGAGCGCCCCCTGCCTTCTGGGCTGACTCCACGCCAGCACCAGTGGTGTCCAAAACGCTAGAATCATGGAGATGGGAGAGGCTCCAAGGGCCATCCAGTCCAACCCCATTCTGTCATGCAGGAACTCCCAATCAAAGTACACCTGGCGGATGGCCATTCAGTCTCTGTTTAAAGACCTCCAAAGAAGGAAATTCCACCACACTCTGACACAGCATATTCCAGTAGCAAACAGCTATTACTGTCAGGAAGTTCCTCCTAATGTTGAGGTGGAATCTCTCTTCCTGCAGCTTGCATCCATTGCTCCAGGTCTTATTCTCTGAAGCAGCAGAAAACAAGCTTGCTCCCACCTCAGTATTTAAACAGGGCTATCCTATCACCTCTTAACCTTCTCTTCTCCAGGCTAAACTTACCCAGCTTCTTAAGTCTCTCCTCATGGCTTCTCTCTTGGCAGCCTAATTTGGGCTCCACTGTTACCATCACACTGCTCAAATTAGCTGTTAGAAGAAGTTGAAAGCAGCAGCTTGCAATATAGAGGAAGTATGTTCAAAATAATATCCCTGCCAGGCATAGCAGATTTTAGGAATAAAACTCTGCTACATGGTGAAATGGTTTGAATGTTGGACTAGGACATTGGGAGTCCAGGGTTTGAATCCTAGCTGTAGTATAAGAACCCACTGGGTAACCTTGGACAAACCCCCTCTGAAGAAACTTGCCAAGAAAACTCAAGATAGGTTTGCCTTAAGGTTGCCATAAGTAAAAAATGACTTGAAGGCATATACCAACCAACCAGCTACCAACTCCTGCCTTTGCTGTTCTCTGCTGCTCACAGTGGGCATCAGGTTAGGCAGTACCGGGTGTAAAATGCAGCATCTCCTGCTTAGGCACATGCCTGACGGGGGATGACTGCAGGACCAGAAGAGGTCATCTAAGCACACCGTATGCGCAGTTGCTGGGTTTATTTTTGCCAAAGAGATTACTGTTGCAAATATGAAAACTAAGGAACACGTGAAGTTGTAGGCTTTCATGGCCGGCATCCATAGTTTTTTGTGGGTTTTTCAGGCTGTGTGGCCATGTTCTAGAAGAGTTTCTTTCTGACGTTTTGCCAGCATCTGTGGCTGGTATCTTCAGAGATGCCAGCCAGATGCTGGCGAAACGTCAGAAAGAAACTCTTCTAGAACATGGCCACACAGCCCGAAAAACCCACAAAAAATTAAGGAACATGTTGGCCTCTGTGCTGGTCACTATTATTATCAAAGGCTCAAGGAATAGTATAGCTTCCTATAATTGTTAATTGCCACACTGACTTCCAGCTTATGGTAACGCTATGAATGAAACCTCTAAATCACCCCGTTATCAACAGTCCTGGACAGTTTTGCAAACTCAGGGCTGTGGCTTCCTTCATTGAATCTAGACATCTGCAATGTAGTTTTCCTTTTTCCTACCACCTCCCACCATTCCAATTCCACTATTTTCCAATGGGTCATGTTATCTCATGATATCTCAAAAGCATGACTGTCTCAATTTAGTCATTTTGGATTCCCAATGGTAATGATTTTGCTGCAGCCAGCCTCTGTTACATCCTGCTGCCTCAGTCTTTCCTCTTCAGAAAAGGTAGCTGTGTTCAGTGGCCCCTTTATAAAACCTTGTACTATAGCAGCCACCTTGAATTAATAGCAATAGCAAAATCAAGTATATTTCTATACCACTTATCAGTGCACTTAAGCATTCCGTAAGCCAGGGGTAGGCAACCTAAGGTCTGGATGCCGCCGCCCGCCATGATGATATTGATTACTGTTGTTATTATTTGTTCTTGGGGT